AGCAGGGCCGTACCCAGGAAAAAATTTCGGGGGGGGTTTTCGGGGACAACGGCGGCCATTTTGAAAGTGTCTATTGTCTTATTTTCGTCTATGAATCATGTGCATCGGTGGCATATAATGGAGAGTTGCAGCAAACCGGAGAACCGGTCCCGGTTTGGTATCCGGTAGCCGACCGGCGCCACTGCGCGTGCGCAGAGGTGGAGATTAAAATCGGCTGGCTGCAAGTGCACCGACCAGGGCCGTACCCAGAAAAAAATTTCGGGGGGTCAGAACCCCCTATCCCCCCCCCCCCCCCCCCCCTGGTTACGGCCCTGCGTAGAAGTGATGTGTCCCGGTCACACCGCCTGTACGTCGTAAAATAAATAAAAAGAAAAAGCCAGTCACCTGACGTCGTCCGGGGAGTGTTGCTTCCCTGTATGGCGGTAGTGTCACACACCTGCGGAGATGTTCGAAGCCGTACACGCGTATGAAGCAAGGAGGTGATATTGCGAATTACGAAGTGTGGAGCGCGAAGGCAATAAGCGGCGCCCTGCGTTTCTTTGCATCAATCGCGAACGGAAGTTCCGAAGAGGTACGAAGCGATCGTAGTATGATGCTCACTACACTTTTTGGAACACGCGAAGTGTTTCTTACCCCGTGGAGGGAGCGCTATTCTGGCCGCAGCCGAGCAACGCGCTAAACGGAATATCCCGCGGGCAGGGGAGGTCACTCGCTCAAAGTCGAAATTGCGGCTGGATCGAGGACACCGCGATTTCGGCAGCCGCCCACGCACCGTAGTGCGACAGCTGCGGCGAAGTACGTAGATGTCCCGACAGGCAAAAACTGCCGCGTTATCCCCGGTTCAGCAGCGACTTCGACCTCGAGGGAGAGACTTCCCCTGCTCGGGGCTGTTCCACTGAGCGCTACGTCATCGAGAGGCTCTTGGGCGGCCGCCGGAACGGTGCTCCCACGAGATAAGACACAGTTCGCGTGTTTCGTGTAAGTTTAGTTAGCGCTGGGGCCTTAGACCAACACCTCCTAGACAGCTTTCAAGGCCTGCGCGTTACGTGACGTGACGTCACGTCTCTGAGGCTTGCACAAGCGCTGATTGGATTCGAGTGTCGCGTCAGCCTTTGCATGGGACTACGATAGGAAATGAGTGGCACGGCGGACGCTAACGCGGCACTCGCATCCAATCAGCGCCCGTGCAGGCCTCCGGGAAGTGACGTCATGTCACGTGACGCGTAGGCCTTGAAAGCTGTCTATAGACCTTTCCAGGACTTTTCACCCGGGCAAAAAATGCTGAGTCACTGAGCTGTGGACGCTTGCGCAGTGTCTGCTTGCGCAGCGGAGCAACAGCGCATGCTCGAAAGGCGTTTCACAGCTCAGCAGACAAAGATGGCAACGCCCAAAAGGCAATTTTTGCAAAGGTCTATAGGAGCTGTGTTGCTTAGACTGGTCAAACACAAAGTCGAGGGCCGAAGCTTATGGAGCTCGCCGATTGGACCCTGAGAACAGTGACGCCGCGCTTTTTGTAGCCCTAGTTCGATCGGCGAACTCTTTCGAGCATTCGGCTTCAAGTGGTACATTCCGTACCATTTGGGACTGCTTGCTAAAATCAGCGTCTTTGCTGTGTATATGAGAGACTGCCAAGCTTGGGCAGTGCTTTCTTTCACGCAGTCTTGGGCGCTCATTCCAGAAACCCGGTCCTGGAACCCTGCAGAAGAAGCCACAATTTCAAGAAACTTCCGTTTCAGGCGATCTAAAGTGCCTAGCCCTGTAATGATTTTGTGTAATGATTTTGAGCATAGACTGCCGCGTTTTTGTTTACTGTTGACGCAAACAAACAAAATATCTGGAAGCTCAAAGATTGGGTTCAAGGAAGTTCCACTTTAAGTAATCACTCTCAAGTTCCAAGGTTATTTATTCGTTCTTTCTATCGACTTATATTGCAATCGTCTTTTTTTATTTTTCTTTGATTATTTGGGGATCTCTGACATAGAACGAAATCTCAGGGTTTCGGAACCTACGCCGCCATAAGTCTGTGTCAGATTCTAAACATCTTTGCGAGGATTCAAACCCGTCAGTTGGAGATATGTACACCGAAATTTGCCCCCAAAGAACTGAGAAAGTTTGATGAATCGATGTAAATAGTGCTGCATCCTTTCCAGCTTTGAAAATGTTAACATAACTGTCACATCCAAAGCCGCACGCAGTTGCACTCGAGGCATCTACGAATGACAACTAGGGTTCACCGAACTTCAAGTTCCCCGATGCTATGCACCTCCTTTTAGAGATAACGACGAGCGATACGCATAAGGCATCTTATCTTAAGAAAATCATATACGACGTCCTCTAGTTCGTTATTCTGCTCTATTCTCCGCCATGCTCTTCCCAAAACTATACACCGTCGCGCCAGGCGACGCCGCAAGGAGCATCGCTACACGCTGTAGTCATGAGGCGTACATGTTATCTACCTGCTTTACTCGAATCAGGTTACAAAAAGCTTGTGTCAAATTGCGTTCCGTCCCGCGAAGGTTCTCGCTGTACGAAAAATTTAAAAAAGAAGCGGGTACGATTGATCTAATCACGCAAGGCTTCGTCAGGCAGAACAAATCCCTTTTACGCCGCGTTACCCCTTGTGTCAGAATCAAAAAGAAACAAAAATGTACCGAGAGCTTCGAATGCAACCTCGTTTAATGAACGTTACGAGGGTCAGGTTCAATCGCTTCTTTCATTGCCCTGAGGCTGATTTTTTTAAATGTTTCTCTCGCGTCGATTTTTTATTTTTTATTTTAAGATGTTTTGAAGCGATCGGCAACCGTCCCGAGCCATCTTCGAAGAGACCATCTTCTCGACCTCCGGGGCGCTGCGCGGCGGAAGAGACTCTTCCATTCGCAGAGGCTCCCAAACAAAATCTCCATTCACCTTCTCGCGTAGAGAGCTGCGGGGTAGGGGGAGGAACGGGAGAGGGAAGGGGGGCTCGATGGGGCACCCACGCTCTTCTGCGTGAGCCGCAAACCGAACAACTCAGCCGAGATGCCGCCGCCGCTGCAGAAGCGGCAACGGATGCCTCCTCGAAGGTCGCCCACGGAATACTCGGCCGCGGACCGGCGTTTCCCCCGACGCTTATCGGCCGTCGAGGGATGCTCAGACCGACGCGGATTGCTGCCGCGAAGAAGAAGAAGAAAGCCCGATTTATGGACCGTCTTCTGTCAGAGGGGGAGGGAAGGCTGGTGGCTTCGGGGAGGGAGGGAGATAGGATTGAAGAGCCAAAAAGAGTACGCGTTCTCTGCGGGACAACGTTGCACCGAGGAGCAATGTTCGACACTAATTTACATGGTTTGCACGTTACGTCATAGCGTCATGTTTGTGGGCATTCCTACGTTGCACCGAGGAGCAATTTTTGACGCTAATTTACGTGGTTTGCACGTGACGTCATGGTATGATGCTGGTGGGCATTCCTACCTGGGCTTGCCAAGAAGAACGAATTTGATGGTGCGGTATGTATGTGTATTAGCAAGATTGTAAGTATTTTAGCGAGGGAAGTATATGTAGAATATTAGAAATATTGTTCTGGCATCATGTTTGCTTGTTCTATGTTCTTAAGTACGCGTGTGAACATGTTGCGTAGTTACACTGTCTTGCGCCGCCATTTAACCATCTGTAATCTTGGTGCTGGGACCTCGGGAAGCTGCACTCACTGCAGCTTGTTTGCCTCAATCACCATCTTTCTTGGTCGAAGATACAAAAATGAATGATTGATCGACTGATTGATTGATTGACCAATTGATTGATTGATTTGATTGACTCATTCTGCAGAAGGAGCGCGCGCGGGAGCAAGGCTAGCACTATGGCCGCTGGCGGGACGTCAAGTGCAGATCATGCATACGGACGCCAACTTTTAGTTCCTTCTTGAGAAAGAGATGAAGTAACAATGGTGGAAATTTGAGAGTATCAATAGCAAAAACAAACGATTTGAAACCTAACGAACGCGTATATATTATTCGTCGTTTTCGTGTTTTATTTTTTTTTTATTTTTGTATTGACAGCTTAGCGGAGGAAAGCAGAAAAATCCAACAGCTCGGTGTGTCTCCCTGAAACGTGTCTTCGCTGCGAGAGAAGTTCCTTAGGCCCCCTTCCAAGGTCTTCGAAGCATGCCAGCAACCATTCACCAAATTCTAGTGGCGTCCTTTGGCAGAACGTTTTTAGGGCAATCATTAGTCAACTCAGGCAACTATTCCTTTTTAAACGTGTCCAGTATTGTTTGTTTTTTTTTTTTTTGGAGGGGGGGGGGGGGTGAACACGGTAATAAGAATTAAACCGTACTTTAAGACCCACCTCTAACACTTTAGTTCTGAGGCACTACGGCGACAGTATGCACACCAATGACAATACTAATACTAATCCTACAAAACGCACTACAAAAAAAAAAAATGAAGATACCTTATTTTCCGGGCTATAGTCCGCAAACTGTATACATGTTTAAAAGTTGAAATATCAGGCTGTGCAAACTATCTACACTTGCGGACTATGCAGGACTATTGTTTCTCAAGATTTTTCATTATGACGAGACGCCAAGAAGTTTGTGAATGAAAGAAATGTTAATGATGATTTGTGTATAATACGAGCTTCCTTGTGGGCTAAAAAAGCCGACATTTGTCAAAATCTATGAGAAGGTTTTCGTGTCGACTAAGCACCAGGTGCGGACTATCTAAGTAAAAACTTTTATTTTTGACTCCAAATTTGCACCTGCTAACTTTAGTCCGGAACTTTAGTCCGGAAAAAACGGCAGTTGATCTTGGTAAGCCGCTACGTCTCTTACCGACGAGGGTGGAGATTCGGTAGAGTCGATGATTCATAATGGTTAAAAAGCGCAACCGGACAACGGACGGAAAGGAAGACACAGACTCGACGCTTTTCTCGAAATGCCGGCTGCCGCCACGTTCTGAGGTTTTCAGTTGGTCCATCAAGAGCAGCGTGGACACTCGACGTTAAAGAAGGACACAGAGACGATGGGCTAACAATAAATACAGTGTTTGTTTGCTTTTTTTATTGTTATCATTCCTCGGTCACCTCGGGGCCTTCACAATGCGCTGAGGGTTGCGCCATGAACGGAGACCCATGCCGGCCTTTGGGAGCGCCACACACACACGACGAGTTCGAAGATGTGATGCGGCAGCACGCGCACATGTACAAACTAAGGCCACCATTCACGGAGAGAGAGAGAGAAAAAAATTCACTTCTGCGGCCACGCTGTATGTTCTTCAAAAGGAACACAATACCTTCGAAGGAAAAAAACAGAAAAAAAAAAAAAAAAACAGGCACCGCTCGGGGAAGGGTGAATGAACAAACGTGGTGATTTCATACATTGAAGTTGGGAAAACTTCGACATTTGGTCGTTAGAGGAGGCGGCACTTGTCATTGGCCATTCGATATGCTTTTAAGACACTTGGCGCGCGCGCCCGCAGCGCCACAAGGCAAGCACGACCATTTCGGAAACTAGAAACTAGATGAAGCTAGAAAAAAAACAAAAAACTTCATCTAGGCATGTGGAAGAGGAGCAGATGAGTAGGATTGGCAGGAAGAATGTTAAACGGGGAAGAAAGTCAAATAAAAAATTAAAAAATAACGTTGTATTCTGGTTTTGGTTTTGATCAGGGCTGGCAAAATATGAAAGTAACCGGCCACTTTTTCGTGCTCCGTGCCAATGCAGTACTGTATCACATGATGAGAACGTTTATCTTCTTGTCCGTTTAGGACGGTCATGTTACACTCTGAATCGAGCCTTACACAGACGAGTATTATGTCGATGCTTCGCAAACTTCACAAAATATAAGAAAGCAGAATGCCAAATTCCAACCATATCGTCCACCACGCTAGCGATGACACCGCCGTCCGATGTCATGTGACTTGTCTATATACCATTTCATTACCTTTTGTTGCAAATTAACTACTCTGCCGCACATTTCGTTCTCAACCCAGCACACCTGTTTGCGTTGCTTAGAAAAGCGAGGAAACGCCTGCATCAAACGCAACGCACAAACGCTGGAAAGGGCATAGGACAGGAGTCCTTTCTTCTCGAATTCCAGACAACCATGTTCGCCAATTCGTTAGGTAGATTTTCTGCTTCTTTACCGCTATCGAATTGGGTCTGTTGCTCCTAGCGGGTCGTAGTTATAGTTAGACTACAAGATGGCTCAAACGCTCGCAGTGAGGCCGCGGTTGGAGGGAGTCCGCACAATACGAACTACACGGAGCGTAAGTTCGTCTGCTTCTTTTACAGGGGTGGTGGTGACGTCAGAACGCCGAGCTCTGATTGGCTCTGATCAAAGGATTGTGGGTAGGCCTTAATATAAACTGCCTTGAGTTCTACACCACTATCCTTCCAATCGGAGCCAATCAGATCTCTCGGCCTTCTGACGTCACTACAAGCCCTGCAAAAGAAGCAGACAAACTTGCGCTCCGTATAGGCGGAACTGCGTGGACCCTCTAGTGATGCCTGATTATGTTTACGCTGCTTGTTTCATGACTCGTTCTTCGGCGCCGTTATTAACTGACATTGCAATGCCATTTGCCGCAGAGCGAATATTGGCAGCTCAGGATTCGCTACGTTCTGCGTCTCTTAACTTATCGATGACCCTTTTTTTTTAAGGCAAACGTACGAATGCGGAATTCGGCAAGGCAGACAGTCATCGTAGTTTTTTCGTTTCCCAAAATCCGAGGGTAACGAAGGAATAAAAAAAGAGGGCACGATTCTGCAGTCTCCGCTCGGATAGGGAGAAGAGAGAATTCCTTCTATTGTAGATCAAAAATCCCATAAATTTCCACAATTTTGAAACTTTGTGCGATCAAGAAATCGCTGGCTACGCTTTAAAAAAATCGATGGAGTGTCTTTTTTTTTTTTTAGTTTTGTGTCAGATTCAAATCACCGGAGTTGTTTGAAGTCGTTCGAGAGCATTTTTCATCGAAAGGACGGGAGACAAACAAAAAACACAAGTTACAAAAATAAATATGATAATTGGCTAAGTGTGGTATTGCTCATGTGACGGTGGCAAAATCATACAATATGTTCTTCGAATGTCTGATGAGCACCCGGCCAATCCAAGTTCAACAAAAAGGATCAACGCTTGAGTATAGTTTGTTTGTTTAGGGCCTCCATATTTACTTCTGGTTACCGACAAATTTACCGAAACGAACTGCCAACAATTTGATTTCCAAGCAATGCCACAAAGTAGAGTGAATTCAGAAAGCGAGGGAATAACCGTCATCTTAAAATCATAACCGCTTACAATAAAACCCACAAAAAATATTAAATTTACGAGCAGCATTTTGTTGAAAATATCCCCACTGTCATCGACAGCTCCAGGAACACGGGTGTGGTTGATTCTGTACACTTTCGAGATTCCTCAGCCAATGAAAACGCGAATGTCGTTCTCATCGGTTGAAGCTGTGATCTGATTGGTTACCCGCTGGTCACGTGACCGACACTGGCGAAGCTAGTGCCTTATTAGTTGTAGACCACTAGAGCCCCACAGTTGATTTCCATCTACTCATGAAGCAACTCAAAAGAAAAAAATCAGTGACCTATCACTGTTTTGTATACACTGGTGAACAAACAGTTTCCGCTAACACGAATGACAAATCATTAATTTTTTTTTCTGTTCATGGCTGACTACTATGCGCCGGTCTAAAATAGATCCCAGCTGAACCAATCACTCATCTCGAAGAAGCCAGTCGTCCTTACCCACTAAGCGCATGCGTGCTTATCAGTCAGGTGGGCAGACCCAGCACAGGAAATTCACCTGTTCAAGTGTGCACGCCAGTACGCTTCTTAATTTGAATTCATCACGTCCTGTGTTCCTCGAGAGCTCCGAGACAACGTGCGGATTGTTTTTAGTTTTTTTGTTTTTTTTTATGCGACTGAGTCAAGTATACAAACGTTCTACCAACTTCGCTCACAGACACGTCCAAAACAACTTGTGTGCAACCCGGTTCTGACTCAGCAGTGACGCCTTCTGACCAACAGGTTTGTTGGTCACCTGTTGGTGACGAGATGATCCTGAAGGTCACTAGCGGAGCTTGTTCGGTTCTGTCGGCCAACAGAGCTAGTCGAGTGTTCCTCAGCACACGGGGACAACGTTCTCGGGTGGCGCAATCAGGGCCATGGTCGCCCGTGCTCATCACCGTGGAGGTACACCTATCAAAACTGCTCACGTTCTTGTACCTCCGCGATGCCGATCAATGCTATGTTCGCATATCTCTTCGCATCCACCACGCATTCCCAGAAGGTTGTCCCCAAAGTACACACTGTATTCGCTGGTGGCCATAGACGAGTCGCTTTGTTGCTATGCGCCAACTGACGACTGCCTTCCACACCGCTTCTTGGATCGATCCTTCCACATAGCAGACGACAATATGTGGAAGCGCGTTTTGCGCAAGCGCAGTGAACAAGGCGCTCGCAAATATATGTACTGCTTGCGGTAGCTTCCACAACGCATTCACAAGGTGCGTGTCACATGCCTATCAAAATGGCCGCTCTTAAACGGTAAAACAAGATACGCCAGCTAGCCTGCGCTCTAAGCATTGTATATGCGTTGGAGCTCGTTCTGTGCATGCGCTGTGAGTGACGCACTCAAATATGGCGTCCAGCGAATACCCCTCGTAGATGGCCCTCGGCCATGACGTTTAAACCAGCAGCAACCCGACATCCTACAAACTTAATAATAATCGTCATCATAATAACGGCGTTCCCCGAGCGGGCATCAGAACAATTCCGGGAAGGTTGCGGCCGCGACCGCAGACGAAGAAGACCTCTGAGTCGTCCCAGGTGTGACGTGGTCGTCGCCGCGGCCTAGGAGTCGCCGCGATGCGTCTTTGGTCGATGAGGAGGGTGGACGCGAGCGGTCTCGCTGGGGACAGTTCGCGCCGAGTATACTATTATATATGCAATAGCAGTAATAACAACACCTGTACAGAGAGTACGTCGAGTGGTCGCACCGCACGCATCGACGAGAGGGGCACGTCCACACTGTCCTGGCGTGTGTCCCTGACTCGTCAAGGGCACAGGCGCGAGGCTGCCGCCGAGCCTTGAGGGAAGGGGCCACTTGGTCGCCGTCCGCGTCGCCGGCTGGAGTTGAGCAATCGGCGCGCGTGGGCGGCGGGAGACCGGATGGTGGTCGAACGCGGCCAGAAGTCGCTTCTTGGGGGTCTCGGGGAAGGAGGGACTCCGGCACTTGGGGTCTCCTCACCGGCCGCCGCTGCAGAAAGAGGAAACGGGAACATGTACGGCAAGCGGGACAACTTCACGGCGCTCATACTAGCCGAGCGAAAAGTGCCGAGTCATTAAGCTGTGGACGCATGCGCGTCGTCTGATAGGTTGGTGAAGAAGTATATTGCGCGTTCTAAGAACACCTTCCACAAGCCAGTGGACAAAGATTTAAGGGCTCATTCACACTGGAAGCGGATCCGCGTTCGCAAAGCGGTTGCGAACGCGGTTGTATAAGGATTCAGTACAATTGCACGCGCACACGATGACATCAAATGCGCGTGCAATTGCACTGGATCTTTATACAACCGCTTTCGCAACCGCTTCGCGAACGCGGATCCGCTTCCAGTGTGAATGGGGGGTAAGTGCGCAGGAGGCGATCGTTGAATGGTGTATGCGGAACGGAAGTTCGTCTGCTTCTTGTGCAGGAGTTGCGGTGACGTCATAAAGACGCCGAGATCTGATTGGCTCTGATTGAAGGATAGTGGGTAGACCTCACAGCAAGCTGCCTTGAGGTCCACCCACTATCCTTCAATCGGAGCCAATCGTAGCTCGGCGTTCTGACGCCTCCACAACCACCGCAAAAGAAGCAGACGAACTTCCGGTTCGCATAACCCGGCAGCCAGTGTTGTACATGTTCATCGAAACCAAAAACAAGAGTTAGTTCAATTTGGTTCGTTTCTCTTTCCTTCTCAATCTTGGAACGACTTCCCGTTACAAGTTCTAGTGGTTTGAAAGGAACGCGTTCCCGTTACCATTTTAAGATTGGAACGTGTCATTGCCTTCACGTGACGTTTGCAGATTTTTAATGAAATGTCGTGCTGGATAATCCGTAAAAAACATAAAGCAAACGAGTGAAAGTATCCCCGTCAAACTACGCGTCGAGTTGCCGCAACCGCGTTTGTTCCAGTTCTTTCGTTTGCGACTCCCTCTTGGACACTTCACCATCCCCTTGAAGTTGAAGGTTAAGGCCCGTTCACACTCTTGCGACCGAGTTAGACCGAGAGAAACCAGACCGGTTTTTAAGCCTCTTGCGACTTCTTAGGACCAGCTCCGATACAGCGGAGCTGGTCCTAAGAGATCGCAAGAGGCTTAAAAACCGGTCTCGTCTCTCTCAGTCGTACTCGGTTGCAAGAGTGTGAACGGGCCTTTATGATAAAATCGCTAATATAAAACCCAACTGTCTCCTAAATTCTGGTAAAATCACAAAAAGAAAAAACGTTTGCAATCTTGCAATGCTCAAGTTAAAATCATCGTTAAAAATTTTTTTTTCTTTTGGCTAGTGCCATTTTTAACGTCCGCAAGTATGGCGCGTGCTTTATTCGTTCTCAAAGGCGATGAACGCGGGCGAGCTGGGAGGTGGGTCTAACATAAAAATGGTCTATATTACGCTACAAAAACTAGACGATGAAGACAATTCTTTGTGCTCTTCTTGACGTCCTCCGTTCGCGCTACGAAAATTACGTAATGGCGCTACCAAAGCTTTGATTTCCGCGAGGCTTAGCTCGATTCTTGTAGAAATAGCGTGGTTCGGGCGCGTACTTTATTGTTCGAGCTTCGCCTTCCCCCTCTCCGCCCCCTCCCTCTCTCCCCCTTTCCCCTCCGAGCTCTTCCCGTGATTGGTGGAGTCTCCATGGCGTCGAAATGACCGCGTATCGCGTGTATAGGTTGGCATGCGGAACCCTCAAAATCGATCCGCCGTGGCCTTCGACACGCATGCGCGGGAATTGTGTAGCTGCCCTTTGCTGAAATTCCACGAGGGAGAGCTCGAATCCCAGCTTTCTGAAAATGCGTCCCTCGTCGGCGTATTTAGGAATTCGCTACTCCAGCTACCTATACGCGTTTTCAAAGAGTAGTCGCGCTTCTAAAGCTATAGTCTGGCCACCGTGGGGGGACAGCGCATTTTTAGAGCAAACATCTGACAACAGTGGAAACGCCTTAGCAAGGCTCGACTACCAGACAATTTACATGTACTGCGAGCAAGATGTCGACACCTTGAGGTGAATTAATGCGAAACTCGTCCAAAAGCTGGAGAATTCATTACTAAAAAAAAAAAAGTTCGCGCCGGTTTAGCATAACAAATACACCAACAAGATGTTTAAACGTACACACTCATACAAAACGCTATACTCTAGCCTAAAAAATGGCGGCCGAGGACGGGTTGCGTTCCGACGGCTTACCTTGACCCGAGTTCAATCTAGCGGATGTATTCAGTTTCTGCACACCGTTCTGTATACGTCTGAACTGCGCGACTGTTGTAAGCACGTTCGGCGTACTCGAAGTATACAATGCATTGTTTGCTCTTCCTGATACTAATATATAGTTCTGGGTATCAAACTTTCGGTTTCGGATATTTCGGGCTTGGGAGCAGCAGTAACGCCGGTCATCGACTCGAATCAACGCTATACCATCGAACGACGTCGGCGATGTCACTTCTTTGACAGGGAGCGTGCAGTTTTTTTTTTTTTTTTTTTTTGAGTCGCGTGAGCCTTGATTGCGTCTTTTCTCTGCCGGCGAAATCCAGTGGTTGCGCCGAGCGCGCAACCAGAAAGCACCTTCTGTCGTTGGGTCGCACACATAACTTGAAACGGCACTCGTTACAAGCAATCAAAATACTCCTAGTCGATCACGTTTTGAGTAATTTAGTAATCGTATGAATACATTTACTAGGAATTAATCGCATGAGTAATCTCGTTCCTTATGGAAGTACTAAAATTACCTGAAACCGTTACTATTTCCCCCTCCCCTTTTTTAATGCCGCCCCCCTTCGTCTCTACAAGATTCCCACCAATGATCGAGTCATAGAACCAAGCAGACATGTACACATCACCCCCCAAAAAAATTGACTAGATACCATTACTCGTTACTCGCTCAAAAAGTAACTAAGTACGTTACTCGTTACCGATTCTCGAAAGGAACGTGGGAGTTACTTCAAAAGTAACGAGTTCCTTTTCACGTTACTTTGACGACCAAATACACAACTGTCTTTGTTTGTTCATTGTTTTCTTCTTAGAAGTCGTAGCACTTAAGCAGTAGCTGCCTCTCGAAATTTTCATCAGTTACGTTCTCCCCGCTTCCTTCAGAATAGAACGACTCTTCAGCGTCCGGCGACGCTGAAGAGTCGTTCTACTGACGCGCTCAGAGGAACGGCAGTGTTGTGCTTCAGCAAGAACTGGTGGATCTGGGATTCCCCTCTCTCTTGTGTTCTCGCAACTTCTCAAGTTCGAAGTCGACAATAGATTATGGGTTTTCCCGCGTTGGCAACGTCAGGGTTTACATTCGGTCCGTGCTCCGTTCTAGAAGTTTCAGCCAACGAATCTTATTGTGTTCGCTGTGTGAAGGACATTCCCAGCTGTAGAGTTGAGTACAGCAACGTTTATCACGGGACACGTCAGTCGAACCGTTCGACTGAATTGTGTTCAGCGACTAATGTTGATACACTTTTTCTACTGTTCAGATGTTTTTCGAGCTGCCCACCTACCGTTCTCGCAATAGACGTAGACTCAGGTTAGAAGTAAAATGAGTCTGTTAAACAGTGTTGTACACGTTACTTTTCAAAAGTAACGAGATACCGTTACTCGCTACTTGGCCTTAAAGGCAACTAAATACTTTACTCGTTTCTTTTCTAGAAAAGTAACTAAATACGTTACTCGTTACCGAAGATAGTAACTAGGTAGAAGTAACTCGGTACTTGTAACGCGTTACCTACATGTCCGGAACCAATCTCTAGGAGGACGGTTTACCACAAAATTGGCGGTGTAAAAAAGGTAGAATACCGCGCATCCGCCAATTCCACACTAAGCGCCCATACCCGAATTTGTAAGATCTGAGCAAATACGCACAGTACATTTATATCTAAAAGTGATGACTGGACAAGCGCCCATACCCCATTTTTTCGCGATTTCCTCCAAAGTATGAGTGCGCGTTTTCCTGGTATATTACGATAAGTAGTTCATAATTCGTTGATTCCAATCGAATAATGGACAGTATATGTCGGAAAAATCTGTCGTTTTGAAAATCTGAAGGAATCAGAAAAATAAGGGTTACTTTTTTGAGCCACGACCAATTATTTTTTTCCCCAGCATTCCAGTAATCTAATAGACATTTTTGCCGAATCACAGGAGCATCAAAGAGAATGACGGGAACGTAGGTACACGCGCTATGTGATCTGCTATCTGCAGTTGTAACTGTTTGAAAGCGAAAAAAAATCTAAAACAAATGGCGCTTCGCACGCCCGTTCCATAAACGCTTTGTTTTTTGTTAATTCCGTCGAATCATTTGTAGAAGGAAGGCGAGCGCGTGCAGCGCGCTTACCTACGTTCCCAGCATTCTCTTTGATGCTTGGGTAATTTAGCGAAAGGTCTATTCAATACTTTTTTTTTTAACATAGAGCAATTTGAATTGGAATCGATTCCTTTTTAGAGCAACGCGTACAACACTGGCCACACATATACTTTTTCCGACGTGCTCGACCAAAAGCGTTCGGGGTCGGCCTTTCACGATTGCCCAAACGCTCACTTTGACGTCTCGGTTAAGAATTAATTCTGCTCTCAACGACGGAAAGAAGAACAAACTGGGCTCTGAACTCGGACGGTGTCGATTTAGGAACGCGATGACCGGGCCTCCACCGCGCTGTTGGCGTGCCATCGAACTTATCGCTCGGCTGGCTACAAATAATCTTGGTCGTGACGTCAGGGATAGGAATTCCATAAGAGGGCGCCACCTAAACACCTCTTCAGTGTAAGAAACACAGGGCGTGCGCCAGTACGTTCAGGATTCTTGCCTCGTGATTCATTCTTCGCTGTTCCCATAGTTTAATCTAGCTTCTCATTGGCCGCGTTTCTCGAAAGGTCAGTGGTTAGAGGGTAGGAGCAGGTATTGACGAAAATGACAAAGATTGTTGACAAGTATCGCGTCAGTATGGTGCCCGACACGTTGGTGTCCCGTTAAACCACCGATAATAGCATGTTGAAAACGGTTTCAAGCGATAAA